AAAACGTGATAACTGTGACTTCAGAATCTGTAGAAGTTTTCTGCTGGTATGGAGGAAGACACTGAATATTTGAAGCTCCCGATTGAAGAAAGATGTGTGCATAAGGTGAAAATTACATGATCTCTTCTTACGTACTAGTAATTCTTGTCCTTTGGTGTACATATTCTGACGAACTTCGCATCTGTGGTTTTGCAGCTTTGGAAAGCACGACTGAACGGCTATGAAGCTGCAACAAAATTATTCAATCAAATTGACGACGAAAAAAGTCCGCAGTGGAATGTTTATTCATCGCTTATCAAGAAGTTCGTCGTAGATTCAAATGCCGTCGCTCAAGAAAAAGGCTTGGAAGCAGTTCTGACTTTCGTCGAAAATGCTAAAATTGCGAGCAAGTTAGTAAATGGGACATTGCATGTTGATACCCGCTAATTAACGCTCTCCTATTAGAAACCCGTCTGAAGTCATCGCGGGTGTTGTGGCCAAATGCCTTGGAGCTCCCAAAGCTAAGACGAAGGAGCTTGGAATTGACATTCTCTTGATGTATGTTGAAATTGAAAGACAAGAACCAGTTCTCGAAGAGCTGATCAAGGGATTCGATCAGAAGAATCCGAAAGCAGTTTTGGGGTGCATTCATGCGTGCACATGCATTGTTAAGTTAGTACTACAGTCGGCAGTGCATCCCGAGCACTAGTTTCACCATTCTCATATTAACAGGGAATTTGGACCAAAAGTCCTGAGCCTGAAGCCTCTGTTGAAACAAATCCCGAAGATTTTGGACCATCGAGATGGAAGTGTTCGAGAAGAAGGGAAAGCCCTCTGCATTGAATTGTATCGATGGATTGGGGTTGCATTGAAACCTCAGATGCAGGATTTGAAGCCAATACAGGTGACCGAACTTGAAGGATGGTTTGAGAAGGTGAGTGGGGATCGACCTCAGCGTGCTCGCTATCTTCGATCAGAACAAGAGAAAATCAGCAAGGCGAAAGAAGCTGGTGATGCCCATGATGGTGCTGGTGAGTCTCATATTTTTATATGTATCCCTTTTCTGCTACTTCATCAATTATCTGCAAAAGTCGCTCTGTTACATCATCTTCGATGAACCATGCTGAGGCTCCCATCAGGCAGTGATAGGTTGCGAGTTGTTGCGCGTGCCGGCAGTGCCTCTTGAAAATTTCGCCCGTTTGATGCAAAACTGTTCATAAAATTAGCAAAATGCGTATAAGAAATAATTTGATTCAAACGAATTAGTTTTAGAAAATTAGAAACTTTATGCTCACATCCAGTTGCCTCCAGCTGCTCAATATAATGATTGTAGGCTGATCTGTACACCTCCAGAAGTTTCAATTCGTTCTTGTGGCGAACGCTTCGCTTGCAGCTGGTGTATAGTAGCAAGTATACATCGTGCAATCCATACCCAAGGTTGCAGTTTTGGTAATCGTACAATTTAACCACCCATGTTCCTGCCAGAGTGAAGTATATTTGAAACGTTTGGAAATGAAGGAATTTTATGTAATAAAATTTGTCTCACCTTCGCAATTCTTCATCATTACGTTCCTTGATGTGCTATCACCGTGACGAATAACTTCCGGAAAGCTTTGTGACTGTGCTTCCTCCATTATTTCTAATACACGCTAAAATTTGTACTGAGAGATCTTCTACTATGGGCTATGTAATTTCGAATACTGTACCTTTCCAAAATCGTGGGAAGTTTTTCTTGATCTTCTGAAGTCCAATCCGTTGCGAAGCGTTCAACAATGGTGCAATTTCTTCAATTCCTTGATTCAAATATTGTATTGCATCTTCTTCCAAAATGCTTTTATTTATTATTTTCTTGAAACTTTCGATTGATTCTCCATTTGGTGACTCGATGAATTTTCTTGTTTTTGCATGGAATTTTGCGAGGACCCTTACCACTGCTTCTAAGCTCTCCGAAAAACCTTGAAATCCTTCTGTCCAAATCGCATGCTCGAATCCCTTTTGCTCGAGGTCCTCCATTATCAGTACATACGGTACTTGTTTAAAAATTTCCCCTTTGTATTCCGAATATACTAATAACGGAGAAATGTTCTCGGGACCTTCGTCAAATTTATGTTTTAGCACATTTTCATAGATGAAAAATTCTACTTTGTCGCAATTTTGGCGTTGTATTAAATCCATGAAAACTTGTTCTCGTGGAACAGTCTTAAGAACGAAGTATAAACTCTGGCTTTGACTTGTTTTCACGTTTATTTTGAAAATTGTGCTTAATTTTCCATGACGGTTTCCGGCTGACGTTATTTCGCAAGATGTCACGTCCGGTAAGCTGATCCACTTGAGTGCTGCGGTACGCCGGCATCAGGACAAAGAAATGAAGAATTTATGCCGCACTTGAATTCTTAACTTCAAAGTAATGTCTTCTAAACTTTTTTTCCGACAGACGTTGATATTCACCGTTGCTATTTTAGTTGACGAAATTGACTCAAGGAACACCCTTAAAATAGTACTTAAAACTGAGCGATTTTAGAAGACGTAAATTGAATTCCGTACTTATTTGAAAAATTATTTAACTGATCACAGTAAGTACAGTATTACTCAGAGCCTTTATTAATATTAATATATGTTCACTGTACGAAATTGCGTATGGTGGATAATACTGTAAAACCCTTCTGATCATTTTCCTAATTAGATTCTGTTCTAGAACGGCCAATACAAGAAAGAAGTGGCGGAAAGTTTTTACTACCTTGCTGATTTGTAATCCGATTGATGAGGCTTGAAACATTAAAAATATAAAATCGGGATTCTCTTCTAAAAACTTCGCCTTTTTCAACTCAGCAATTCGCCAGCATATGTATCTTAATTCAGTGGATGTTTGATTTCTCTCTTTACAACTGTCTTCCGCTTATTGAAGATGAAATACTGTGCTGTTAAGTGTAATTTCTATGGTGCCACTCAAAAATCCCCTCTCGTGGTGAACACATTCTTTAAACGAATAAGAAAACCGGGCTTGAAGGCTTTTTGAAGTGGATTAATATTCCGACGTAATTCATTTGAGAAATAGGAGTATGCTGATCTGGAAGAAGCAAACTTTTAATCTTGAAGGATAATTTTCCACCTCTTTTTTTCAGTTTTACCTCCCAGGAAAATCACGGGGATTAATTTTGACCCAAGAATTTTAAATCCACGTAGCAGTAATTTAAAAATTGAAGCTTTGTTCTTGATAAGTTCTAACGTTCGGGAAGTTTTTGCTTACACAACACCCGAAGATCTTATTTAAATTAGCTCATGATTTTTTATCCTTTTGGAAATTATTGTGTTTCGTAAAACAGATTGAATATTCATCAGTTTCTTTTTCGGACGGAATAGCATGACTTTTTCATTCAACGATTACGAGTTCCTTGGATTTTTCATGTAAATGAAATTTTGAATTGACGTTCAAGACTGCTGGGAAACTGGTGTTTGTCCCGAAAGTTTCTCACGGTTTTATGTGTACTGTGATACAAAGAATTTGCATTTAGGAAAAAGGTTGAGAAACGCTGATGAAGTGATATACGCTGTATTCATCTGAGGCTTAAAAAGTACAACATCTGACGACAAGCGTTCAAAGCTCAGGAATACAATGTCGTGGATGATAAGTTGATCAGAGGAAAATAAATCTGTTTGAATTGAAATTATTCAGAATGCTTTGTTTTTT